TTTACACCGCTGGACTAAATCAATTTAGTACGAATATAGTACCTCATACGCGTATCAAACGATCGGTGTAAACAAGGCCATAGCACGGATCATTTTGATCCGGATCATTTTGATCTACGTCGCGTTAAGGGCCAGTTTCACAAACGTCGGTTAGCTGCTAACCGAAGGTTAATTGATTCTCTGTCTCTTCTTAGATAACAAAATAGAAAAAGATAGGAAGTTGACTGAACTCTGGTTAACAGTTAACCGACGTTTGTGAAACTGGCCCTAAGTGATATTTATCATTTTAAAACTTTTTTTAAAAATGCGTTTCAAAATGGTTTCACTTCGTATGTTAAAGCTATTACCAACTTGTATATATGTATAATCTAAAATAATACTTATATTAAGTCAGCCATGTTCGTCTAATTACAACAAATAAGTAAATAGAAAATGTATCAATATACTGTTGGACTAAATATTTTGTGCGTAATAATATTTCTTGCGTTAATTTACATATACTTTTCGCTTAACAAACTGTATGCCATTATATGTAATTAAGTTTAATTATATACATAATTAAATTTAATTACATATAATAATAGCACACAGTTTGTTAAGCGAAAAATATATATAAATTTATACGAAAAATTATCACGCATAAAATATCCAGCTCAACCGTATACTGGCACATTTCCAAAGCATTATTGCATAATCATTTTATTGCAACATTGTTGCAACGTTACGTAGCAATATTTCTGAAGGCGGACACTTTACCGTTGCTGCAAGATTGCAGCAGTGTTGCAGCAACATTTTGCAACATTTCTGCAATATTGCAATGTTGCAAAGAAATATTTCTGCAATGTTGTTGCAATATTTCTGTGCCGTATGGGAGTACTTAATAATTCGCGCATTATTGGTATCAACGAAAATAACATTATAAAATTCTCGTAATTAGAACAATTGTTTAAATAGAAAATATAATATTTTTATTATTTTTGAAACGTTGCTGCAATATTGCTATCGAAAGTTTGCAATTTTATCCCTGCAATGTCTCTGCAAGATTGCAACGTTTCTGCAATGTAACTGCAACCATCTGTGCTGTATGGGGTTACATCAAGTAAAAACACTAACGTCGAATCGACGTCCCATTATTATACTACGTTGAACGTTCTGAATACTTTTAACATCTTGGAGAGAACTGATACAAAGTGTAATCTTAGTACAAAGTGTAAGACAAAAAGATTAAGTTCCTAAACTTTTCATTATTTTCGAAAACTGACGGTTGGGACGCGGTTTCGACCCCATTGACATCGATTCGACGTTAGTGTTCTCACTGGAAACATGGATCGGCAGGCATTTACTTGAAAGCATCGTGAACCAATTGGAGCGCCTTCTGCACCGTTTGATCCCCGTATTCGAATCTGTGCCCGGCTATCATGAACCACAGAGAATTGATCACCGCGACGTCGAATGCCGTGTGCATCATCACCGCGCCACGCTCGCTCATCTGCTGCAGATGCTCAACGAGATTTCGAGCCTCCATAGTCAACTGCTCCGTCAAAATCGACTGACCTATGCCGAACGTTCGCAGATGCCGCATCGTAAATCTGCGACACTGCGACCACATGGGGCCCTCGATGAACAGAACGCCTAGAATAACAACGCGCGCTTGATTAGCTTGGAGTTAAATGAGAGCGAAACTGTCTTCTGCATTGAATCGTTGTGTAATGGAGAGAATTCAGCATCGTTGCAAATTTTATATCCAACTGATGAAGGCACATTAATTTCGAGGCATCAATCTCGAGTTTCGTTCGCCGCGCGTGCATATAAGTAGCTGCGTACCTACCCTTCCTTTTACCGAACGCTCGCACCCTGAAGAAAAATCCGTCCGGCCGACTGTTGAATTCATCCTGGAGAAGAGTTTTCTTCACCAGATCGTACGTTGAAATCATCACCACCTTTTGATTTCCGAGCTTTAATCCAACTATCGGCCCGTACGTCTGCGCCAGTTCTTGCAGAGCCAGATAAATGTATCCATGTTTCGAGCGTAGCCTTCCGAACTTGAGCAAACATCCGAATAACGGTACCCACGCTGGACCTGTGTAATCATCATTCGGAATCCCGTAATTACGGACTTGACTCTAATGACATTAATTTACAATCATTGGTAAGTTTCCGTTCAGCGAAATGTCGATGGTGATCGTCGCATTTATTACTTGCAAATTAACATTATTAAATTGTACTCTGGAAAAAAAAGTCAGTTATTTAGAGATTAGAGTTACGAACAATCTAAATAATTCGATTACTAATTGTGGGCCCCAAAATGGGTTATAACTGTCTTTTTTTTCCCAGAGTATCTAAATTTCAGATTCAGATCCTCATAAATTAAAATACAGCTATCTTTATTAATTGCCTGAGATATCAGTCCAAGTAGCACGTTGATCGTTATAAGTTCAAAGATGATTTACTTTTTTAAATTCTTTGCAAATTGTATATTCAAAATGAAATGAAAAGAATTTCTTTCCGATAGCTTCCGGAAGTAATTTCACAAAAGTGTACCTTTTGAATTCTTAATTGTAGAAGTAAATTTTTAAGTTCTGAATACAAACAGTTTTTAGAAAAGAAATGGAATAGATTCATAATTCGAGAATTCAAGAAAAATCCCTTTTGAATTTTTCGGAACTGTCTGGAAACGCGTAAAGTATTATTTTTATATCTGGCTACACCTGATTTGATATACTTCTAAATGGTTGCATTAAAATTTGGATATAATCTGATCAATTTTTATCATATCTGACATTTTTTATATAATTAGATAAAATTGGATATATGGTTTTTCCCCCGGGCATTATTCACAAAGGTCCGAGTATAATGACGATTATACATTTCTGTCACGCTAGAAGTACACGAATTCTTCAAAAGAAAACACTAGATCGACTAGTCTGATGTTCATATATACCTTTTTTGATATGACATTACTAGATAAAAAACGCGAAATTTAGGAAAACGTAAGAATTTGAATGATAAATTTATCTCGCGGTCGAAAATACATTCCATTAAAAAAAACGGTGTCGTCTATGACAGAACTAAAAATTCTAGAAACAAGTTAAATATTCAAGAGACTTCTCGCGCGCCCTATAACTTTCTCTAAAAAATCGGCTTTCAAAATTAGATACTTTCAGGAATATTAACTTGTGACGTTGTAGAAAGGCACTTTTTAAGCTATTATAATATCTAGTTACAGCGTGAACGAGACTTCTTACAAAAAGATATGTGTGTGAAGACCATAAAAATGTAGTAATTGTGTTTAGGCCACTAATTGTTCGTAACACCAGACTGAGCACTTTGAAAGTGTCATGTTGTAATTGCATTGTCGTTGAGTTTTACTTCACTTACCGGGTGGATAGTCTTTTGGCTTGATACAATCGTAGATGCAGTAGAGGCAAACGAAGATTGAGAGAAGAGAGATAATCAGGAACAACATTTTTTAATTTTCACGTATCGAGATACGTCTCGTCGAACTTCTGCCACGATCGCTTATATGGCCTGTGTTATATACACAGTTCTGCAGTGTACATGTGGAGAATACATGCATGTACATATCATACAAAACTAGTCAACAAGATTTTATCGATCACCATTGTGGTCTGGACAAAAATATCAGTTTATGCATGAGTCCCGTTTTTGAATGCGCAGACTTTACCGTGGAATCCGGTGTTGAAACACGACGGTTTTGTTTTGTTTTGTAACTTGACTAGAACGTCCTAACAGTAGATAAAAGTGACGATAAGAGGATGAACGATAAGAATCTGTATTTTTATAAATTACATTTATACGAATAATATAAATTAACCAATGAGAATATTCTTAAAAGTCGCCAGCAGTAATTAACATCAGTGATTTTTATTGACCGTATAATATCTGGCAATTTTTATAATACAGAAAATTTATTGCGAAAAATATTACCTCAGCCAGGGTTTGGACCTGGACCTCCCTTCTCTCTAGGCGGGCGTCTCAACCAATTTGACCACCGAGGCATATGCAGTGTTTGCTGTTATTTAAATAAAATTATATAGATGATTATCTAGATAAAATTTTAGCGTTATCTTATCTTTATATAGATAATAAAAATAAGTATATCTATATCTGCATCTTAGATGAAAGAAAGTGTTATCTTTACTAAATTATCTAAGATAACGTACAGATAATTTGGTTTAGAGCCACATAAAAATACTTAACAGTTACACTATTTAAATATGGATGGCGTTGTAGACCATGCATTTATGTGTGTGTGTAGTATAACTTAACCTGAATATATTCTATATCCCCCTTTATAATTTAAATTTTTCTATAATTTTTTTTATAACTTTTTCTACTGTGTTTATATGAAGTCTTAAAAATATCATCTGAAAATTATCTAGATGAATCATCATATAATTTTATCTTTTATCTAGACATATTCAAAACGAAATCGTCTTTATCTTATCTAAGATAAATTTATATATTTTTATCTTATCTTTATCTAGCTAATTTTAAAATCATCTATGCATAACACTGGGCATATGATAATATTAGTATATGTACACAATAACAGTAATACAATAAAATAAAAACAGCAATAAAAAAAAGTCGAAATAGACGCGTAAACAACATCTTTATATTGCTATTGCGACTAATATATTATCATATGCCTCGGTGATCGAATTGGTTGAGACGCCCGCCTAGAGAGAAGGGAGGTCCAGGTTCAAACCCTGGCTGAGGTAATATTTTTCGCAATAAATTTTCTGTATTATAAAAATTGCCAGATACGGCCAATAAAAGTCACCGATGTTGTTAATATAAATTAAGTTCGCATGATCCAAAAGTAAATTAAATAAAAATGTTAATTCTTTAAATATAAAATATTGTGCATGCCACATATTAATTGTCCCTTATTAGTGCATCCGGAGTTAAATAAAAGACAGAATTAAGACGACGAAATTAAGTTATTTAGCGAGTTTGGGACGTTTTCCCTGGGATAAATTCCCGAGGAGAAAACGAATTCAGGCTAATTTGTTTGTGAATAACAAGCTTGCCAGGTGATATCCTTGATCGTAATTTCTGGTGAAAATTAAGCCGAGGTGACGCGAGTAAGCACATTGTTCTCACCCGTGTGAAGCTTATACGCGATACCTAGAAATCTCCTATTATGTTGTAAAATGTCTGTTATCAAGATAATCCGGCCGCCGCGCTTGCGAATAACAATTTGCATACGAATGCCCGACGGAGAAACAACGTAAAAAAGAAATTTCTTCAATGAAATAACCTTGAACGTGTTTGTCCGACCGTTTGCTATCAAAAGTTCTTTGAGAAAATTCAAGCACTACGGGACAAAAGAATTTAACAGTCGTACGTAACATGCGAGAGACGCGCGTTATTCGTATCCCCTGTATTTACTACGCTACCAAATACAAAAAATTACCATGAAACATGGAAATCTCTCCCCTCCTTATGAAAACTCAAATATACTGTATATATTTAACTGGCAAGAAGTGACCCAGTCAGAAATGACTCGTCGATCGACATCGAAACCGTCATCATATTGACGTCGATTCGACGTCGTTTTGACATCGATCTACGAGTCATTTCTGACTGGGAATCTTTATTTGGTTCACAACGTTTCGACCCTTTAATCAGGTCCTTTTCAAGTGTGTTCCATAGTTGTCGAAGTATCGTAATTTTCTTAACCGAAAACAGAGTGAGTGCACCGTCTTATTTGACTTGCGAAACTACACGGTTGCTTCCTGTGAAACGCCAACGATAGACACCAGGATAAGACAATCCAATGACCGAAACACGTGTGACCAGATGAATCTGCAACCACAGACTCATGCAGTCACTCTGTTTTCGATTAAGAAAATTACGATACTTCGACAACTATAGAACACACTTGAAAAGGACCTGATTAAAGGGTCGAAACGTTGTGAACCAAATAAAGATCACTTCTTGCCAGTTAGGTCGACTTTAATATTTTTTAATATATTAAAAAATATTCCCTCCTTGAATCATCACTGGCGACAATAAGACTTACTTAACTTATACATATATTTCTCAAAAATTTCCGCAAGGGAAGACGACGGAAGATGAGGATGTCGTCGCGCAACTCCCACGAAATGTTGCACGCGCGCGAAGATCTGTCGGACGAAAGTGAAAATGTTTCCTGTCTGTCACATCAGGGAAACGACACACCGGGAAACGTATCGCGATTTCTCTAATTCTCTTCTTTTCTTGTTTTTTATTTTTTATTTCCTCGTTCGGTCGCCGCACGATCGGAGAAAAATCCATTCTTCCGTAGTCGGACGCCAGTGAAATCCCGTCGTCATCGTCATCAATCGAGCGGAGTCTGCGATATGGTGCGGCCTACCGGGACGCTCACAGCACGGTGGCATGGATTAATTTATGCCGCTGTGTGGGTGCACGGATACTTTCTCCATGGCCGAGGTCCTCTACATGCTGGTCGCCTCTGCCTACCATAACAGACTCCACTTTCTCCAATTTCGCAGGGATACGTGCGCGTATTCGCGTTGCATCATCCTCGCCTCATAAGTTCGGGATGGCGATTTTGCTTTGAAATTATAGGATGACCATTTAGACGGCTCGCTCTTGAGGAAGCTATTGTCGGCTTAATAACGCGATAATAAGGCTCTTAACTTGGGTTCTTCTCTCCACTATATCAACGAATACATCATGTAAATGAATAGAATCAACATACAATTGATCGCTCGTGGAAGAAAAATTCTTTTAGGATCGTTTTTATCTTTGAAGTAGAAAATAATAGATTGATTCATTATTATTCAATACTCGTTTCGTTACATTATAACGACACGCAGCAGGTTTCTTTTCTAGTTGTACCATTAAATTTGCCAGCTTGTCGTATCTCAAAACTTTTATAGCTTACAAGAAACGAAGATGTTCCTTGTGCTTTCTTTCGTGTAAAGTAATTCTAGATAATATTTCTTGTATCGTTCAATTATCTCTCAAAGACGCAATTTATATTGCTTGCTTATCCTTTTTTTTTCTAACGTGTTTCCGTAATCGATGAAATTATACGAAATGATAAAGGTAGATGTGTGAAATATATCGGTACTTTCTCCCATTCAATGATAATTTGTTGCACATCTTTCTAGAAATCTAAAACAGAAACTCAAGTTTAAACGTCCTTGTTCACGAGAAAAGAAAAGTGACGAGATAATAAAAATAAACAGTTATTAAATATAATGTTTATTTACACTTTATCAGCCAGGAAAATGGCTAAACGACTTTTAGAAAGTAAGCGCAATTTGTTTAGGCTTAAAAGTGCACGCCAATTATATACGCTTGCTGCACAATGAATATTAAACGTATTTACCATATACGCTTGATATCTGAAAAGTTTTCTCCGTTGCACCCGTCCGTCCGACGAACTCCATTTCCGTATGACAGAAATAAAAAATGCGCGTACAATTTTTGTTTTCTTGTAGATGCTTTTCTAGATTCCTCTTCCGCTCCGTATATCTAATGTATCTCTGTTCTATTGTCACGTCAAATAAACAACCGAGTGAAAGTCGTGTTACGGTTGCTTGCATGTAAAAAGATAACATATCCGAGGCCTAAGGGTGAAATAAAGCCAGAGAGTTAACAAAATACTTATAAACTTTATTCGTAACAGTATTAGTTAACAATTGGGCAGACAACAACGTGTACATAAAAAAAAAAATAAAAAAACGAGGAGAGGAGAAATAATGGTTACGACGTGTCAAGGTAAGGATGGTATTCCGAAGGACAGGGAGCGCGTCAGTCGAGCAATTTCGAGTAACTTAAATTTTACCTTATCTTAAATCCTAAGATGTAATATATACAGCGGCTTATGTTACAGCACTCTCCCGTGGAGATGTTTGTACAAGCATTTTTTTTGTGTGTGTGGATTACAGTGCGGTTATTCTGCACGGAAATCTAGCTCAGCGGCTAGGGAACGCAAAGTTGGCTTGGCCAACGTTTTGGTTAGCCGGCGGTGGTACCAAGTCCTGCGTGATCGCCGGCGAATTTGCCTGGAAAGACCTGGACCCGACTTTATTACTGTCCGCCTGACGTTGCTGCACCTGTTGCTGCGCCTGTTGTTGCGCCTGTTGTTGCCCCTGTTGCGGCTGCGCCTGTTGTGGTTGCGCTTGCCTCTTTTGCTGGACCCCCTTCTCGGGGCTGTAGGGTACAATTTGTGTGTTCTGAGCCTGCGTGTCCTTGCGGTCCCAGCCGTGATGGGGATGATGGTCCTCGTTGGGGAACCACTCGGATATCCAGACTGGTTTCCATATCTTCTTCCACGCTGGTACCCAGATCTCTTTCCAAGCGGGCACCCAGATCTGTTTCCACGCCTCCTTCCAAGCGAGCTTCTTGTCGGGGATCCATTCCAGCTTCTTATCGGTCTTCCAGATTTGCTTCCAAGCCTCCTTCCACTCGAGCTTCTTGTCGGGGACCCAGACGAGTTTCTTGGACGGTTTCCAGATCTGTTTCCACGCTTCCTTCCAGGCCAGCTTCTTATCCTCCACCCAGATTTGCTTCTTCGCTGGTTTCCAGACCTGCTTCCAGGCCTCCTTCCACTCGAGCTTCTTGTCCGGGACCCAGATCTGCTTCTTCGCCGATTTCCAATATTTCTTCCATACCGGTTTCCAGATCAATTTCTTTTTCCAAAGATCATGACTCGTGTATTGCCATCCATGATGATCCGTGCCGTGATAGTGTTCGCCCGGTATGCCAACCTTCACCCATTCGGGAACCCAGAGCTTCTTCCAAGCGGGTACTTGAATTTCTTTCCACACTGGTACCTGAATCTCTTTCCAAACCGGCTTCCAGATCTTCTTCCACGCGGGTACTTGGATCTCTTTCCAAGCGGGTACCTGGATCGGCTGCCAAATCGGCTTCCAGATTTTCTTCCAAGCTGGCACCTGTATTTCCTTCCACACCGGCACTTGAATCTCCTTCCACACGGGCTTCCAGATTTTCTTCCACGCGGGTACTTGGATCTCCTTCCACACCGCTTTCTGAGTCGGCACCCAGATAGGCTTCCAGATCTTCTTCCACGCGGGCTTCCAGATCTGTTTCTTCGCCGGTTTCCAGATCTTCTTCCAGCCCGGCTTCCAAACAAGCTTCTTCTTCCAGTAGCCCTTGTCATGGTGGTCGTCATGGCCGCCGTGGTGCTCGTCGATTCCTCCGCCGCCACCTCCAAAGTCACCTCCGCCTAGATGACCGCCGATATCACCTCCACCTAAATGACCACCGATATCACCGCCGCCTAAGTGACCTCCGATGTCACCACCCCCAAGGTGTCCGCCGCCGTCGCCACCGCCAAAATGGCCGCCGCCGTCGCCACCGCCAAAATAACCGCCGCCGTCACCACCTCCAAAATGACCGCCGCCGTCGCCACCTCCAAAATGACCGCCGCCGTCGCCACCTCCAAAATGACCGCCGCCGTCGCCACCTCCATAGTGACCGCCGACGTCGCCGCCGCCGCCACCGCCGCCACCGAAGTGACCACCAATATCGCCACCCCCATAACCGCCGCCATAATCACCCCCAAAACCACCGTCGCCTCCATATCGTTTCTGCGCCTCTGTACCGTACCTGTAATCACCATGACGTCGATTCAACACCGAAGCGTTAATAATCGCACGCTCGCTTTCATTATCTTACTCTTCTTTCACGGTACACAGAAAAGCCTTTCGAAATTAGCACGATGTGCCGTCCAGGTTCATAGATTACTTCTACATCGATATTAGAATAAAACAACGATATTATTAAATGTGAGGTATCGAAATACAAAAACGAAACAAGTGGGGAGAAATTTTGAAATTAATGTGTCACAATTTGCAGGTTGAATCTTAAAGATTAAATTAAAAAGATTGTGCATGCAATCTTTTGTAGCACGACACGCCACTACTATCAAACGCAGATTGAAATAAGAGATTGCTATTCGCTATTTCACTAAGGTAAATGTCATACGTACGGGGTCTGCCGCGATTGTGGCTGCAATTGCGTTTGATCTACGGCCTTGCTCGCCACAAGAGCGGCCTGCAGTAGCAGCGCTAGTACAGCCTGTAAACAACGAAATAACACAGCTATAATGGAGCAATATTCAGCGGGAACAGTTATTAAAAAAAATCTACTTGTCTCTCATTCCACCAGAAATTTTAATATCGCATCAAAATTATGCCAAACAAAATAAAAACGCGAGATATTAGCGAACGTCGACAAGCGGGATAACTTTGGAAATTTATTTACGATCAATTGTATACGTGAATACGAAAATTTCAGCAGCTATTGATGAGATATTTAGCGGTCGGCGATGATACAAAACTGGAACTTAATAACATTTGTAAATAAAATTAAGTGGGCCAAAATTCGCATTTTATGTAAAAAGATTTTCGATGGGTAATTTCAAATTCATAAATCCAGAGGTTTATAGGTCAGCGTAAGTGGAGTTCTGGAATTTAAAGTCGCGTATAACTTCACACATTAATCAGCTTTATACACAAATCCACTATAAATAGGAGAAAGAGAGAGGAGGGGGGGGGGGGAATTATAAGTTGACCAATTTATAAATCCGTGGATTCATAAATATATATAAGTTTACCAGTCTGCAAAAACATCGATGCGCGCCTACGTCGAATCTCTCCGCCACGATTTGATTATAGCAAATCGCGGTGCGGTTAAAACGCTAGTTAAAGACCGATGCGTCCTGTTCGAAACGACGACCGTTTACATCCGTCAGGTCAAGCACCACGCTCGCTGAACAAGTGGCAAGCGCCGAAGAGAAACACGCCTGCTCGAACTCGAAGCGGTACACTTGTCGAAAATCTTTACGGACTGCAATTATCAAGGTCGCGCCCGACAACCGGAAGACCAGGTGATGGAGCTCGATCGGTGGTAGCGCGCGACTCCCCGTAAGCGGAAACGCGCTGGCACAACGCGCGCGCGACACATCGGCACCGGATTTGAAAGAGAGTGAAAATTGATGGAACAACTGACCGCGCATCCCGGGCGAATCCTCATATTTCTCGCAGTGCCGCCCGTCGGGCTCGGGCCGCGTACTCCTGTTCCCTGGGCGCAGGAAAACGTAGCTTACTTCGTCCAATCACCGGAACGCCGTAGTTATATAGGCGCGTATCCTCCCCGATATCACCGCGGGAGGATCGCGGTAAGGAAACAGCCGGTGGTTCACGCGAACCGGCGGTGGTGGCGAACCGTCGACGGTGGAGGTGGTCCCGGCGGTGGCCCACGTGATGGAAATCGGGGAATTCCACCTGGCGGGGTGGTGGTAGTGCCCGCCGCGCGTTTTGGGCCCCGGACCCCTTTACAGCTTGAACCCTCCTTCTCCTCCTCCTCCTCCGGCTCTTGTTCCACCAGCGTCCTCTTTCTAGCACCCCCACTTCCGGCGCGGCGACCGGGCCTCCGTCCTGCCGAGCCGTATCATCCACTCGGAGAAAGTGATCGAGAGCACGATCCGGTCGAGCGAGCGCAACCAGCGATTTCGACCTCCAGTTATTCCGGCGCCTGTGTTTCAACGGCGAAGTTCAAGCCTCGCAAGGTTATGAGACAAGGTTATGCCTCGCGCTCCAGATTATTTCGATATTGAGAGAGAAAGAACGGAAGCACGCTTTAATCTCTTCCACGTTAGATACCCAGAAGCGGAGTTTCTCGTTTTTCCTCCGAGCCGAACCGGTTAGCTGTCCCCGCGAGTCCGCTCTGCGAAAGCTGCACTATCTGTTTCCTATTAATAATATAATGATGTTGGTACAACGATACACTTGGAACGTAATTAATTATTAGTATAATGGCAGCTTGGTACACGCCGTAATGTTTTTCTAAATGGAATCTACGACTATTCTGAAACAGGTTTTCGGACCATTCATCGCTTCTCGCGTTAAAACGATGAATATTTTTTTGTATAGAGGAAAGTCCTCTATTATGAGATAGGATTCTGATGCGAGATAGTGCGTTTTTAACGTCCAAATTTAATCGCAAATCTTTTTTCGCAACGATTACACGATCTAATGTACCACTGAATATCCGGGAAAGAATAGAAAAGAATCTCATTATGTATTGTACATCTCAATCGTGTAATATCTAGTTATGTCTCGTGAGATCCAGTTCTAGAAATTATCAGATCCTCAGAGATTTGACACTTTCCTTGAATGCTCGACGTTATCCATTGTGATCCAACTGAATTGAAAAGACAATCTGATAGATTCAACCAGTCGTCCGTTAGAAAATGGACGAGTCAGAATTTCTTTAGGATTTACCATAAAAGATATTTCATAACCAGAAGTTTGCTAGATGCACAACTGGTAAATCCTAAAGGAATTCTGACTCGTCCATTTTCTAACAGACGATTGGTTGAATCTATCAGAGTTCTCTTTCTTTCAGTGTATAATTAAATGTCCTAAGAGAACATAATTAGACTTCAATAGATAATAACATTGAGTATTCGACGAAAGTGTTAGATCTCTGAAGATCTGATGAGTTTAGAATCTTTCCCGGCCCTCGCTCCAAGGGCAATTAATTCACGGTGGAACAAAATGACGGTATGCAAACACGTCTATACATGTTTAAGACGTACATCTCTTAAAAAATATTCAATTTCGCGCGACGGAATCGAAACGCTTCGACCAACCAAATCGATGCGTTTTAATTCCGAGCGGACGCCGTTAAGATACATAAAATTTAGATATTAGTTCTGTGGTGTTTAATATAGCTCAGAACTGCGAATGAAATGAGTAAAAAATTTCACCGAGTTATTATTTTAATTGCTTGCTAAGTTGTTATTATTGCTTTAATTACTTGATAAGCCGCGGGGATAGAAATTAAAGAGCGTGTAACTCCGCTTCCTGGTACTCGTTTTACCTTTGAAGAATAAGCTCGAAGCGTCCACGGCGTTTGTACTAACAATAAGCGCTTAACAGGTGTTTATTTTACACAGCAGGTAACACAGATTGCAAAGCACGATGGGTTGAATATAATTTTTTTTTAAGGAACCAATTCGACGAAATAGAGCTAATTTAAGTGAAATCCTAGAACGCCAGTGCAAGACAATCGTTATTTGCGCGAAGGTACGCGTACATGGCACATAGTGGTGAAACGCGATGGACGTCGTCCGTCGGAGACAGCGGAATTGGTTGTGAAACGGAGTAGGTATTTTAATGGGGAGAGCGCGGAATCGGGCTCGTTTAAAGGCAGGTCGGATAGACAATCCCGCGACGGAAGGAGGAATTGCCGACGATCTCGGGGGCCCTACGGGCCGCGCATTTAATCGCCCTGTTTTGCGCGAAGCTTAAACGACCGCGGCGCGCGATTTTCTTCCAGCAACGACGGGCTCCTCGGCGTCGCCGCGGGAGAAAGCGTACCGGAGAACGGTTTCGTGCATACGGAGTGTGCAAGCGCATTTTCCGCTTTTTATCGCGGAGACAACAATGCGCGGCCGCGGCAACGAGCGGCCGGGAAAATTAGATCTAACGAGGGCCCCGTCCGTGAGATTCCAGGGTGATAGCGAGAGTGCCGGGGCACACGTGGCGCTCGCTCTCGCCCGCTGGTAAACGATATATCGAGAGCGATATCGGGGAGGAGCGCCGCCGGGAGACAAAGAGTAGAAAACGAAAACGGACGCCGGGGATCGCGAGCGGGCGCGTTCAACCTGCCCGCGGTGCGTTTAACGGTAGACGTTAAACCGCGTTAAGTGCGTATATCCGTTTAACACGTCGCGCCGACTCACGGATGAAAGTGAATTCCCTCGCGCGGTCCGCTAGAGAGTCGACAAACGCCTCGGCGTTCACGCACGAAATGCTCATATGCTCTCGCTATTCCGGTTCGTAAATCACTCGCCCGTTGGCTGCTCCAGATTTTCGAATCCGCACAGGCACAAGAGCACTCCGGGCGAAAACGCCGGAGGGACGTTCGACCGTTCCCCGCGCCGCGAGGGTATATCCGCTTTCGTTCGGTTTGCTGCATGCGTGCGTGCTTAATTGGATATATAATTAGGCAAGACCATACGTCCAGCGTGCTAAAGAAATAGAAAGCTCCTTGAGAATACGAATACTGTTTAGGCTTTTTCGAAAAATTATTTATACACCAATATTTATTTATTATATATTCTAAAATATTTAGCTACGGCAACTAAATATTATAATATTATATAATATTTAGTTGCCGCAGCTAAATATTTTGCTACTGTGCCTATTGTACAATATTAGGTGCAAATCGTTTGCTGTGGTTTAGAAATTTATAGTTACGGCGGCAAAATGTTTTTAGCAAACCATGACTAGCTACACCCTCAGAAAGAATTTCTGTTACCGAGGCAAAACTATTCTCGACGCATTTATATTTCTCGCAACCTCATTTGGTATAAAAATAAGACAATATCAAGATAAAATCAGTAATTCTTATTCTCCTCTATCGAATTAAGAAAGATTGACTTACTATATTGAGACAAGAGCAACTTATATAAATGTCAGTTTATATATTCTTGCATTTAGATTAAATTTTCTCTCCTTTTTACAACGCACCAAGTTGGCACCACGATATTCGACAAAAGACGATTCTAGAATTTTGTCATTTAAGATTAAAATGTTCCTTTCTCTGTAATAAATAGGAGTGGCGCTTTATCGATCCTATTTTATGATACATTCAAGTGTAATAGCATTGGATCCGGAAATTTATTTCTGTGGGTGTAGAAAAGATTTTTGTTACCGAGACAAAAATATTCTTGACACATTTATATTTCTCGCAACCTTATTTGGTATAAAAATAAGACAATATCAAAATAAAGTCAACAATTCTTATTCTCCTCTATCGAATTAAAAAAGATTTATTTATTATATTGAGACGAGAGTAACTTATATAAATGTCAGTTTATATATTCTTGCGTTTAGATAAAATTTTATCTCCATCTTACAACACAAGAAGTTGGCACCACGATATTCGACAAAAGACGATACTGTCATTTTATTCTAGATTTTAGAATTTTTCATTTAAATTGGCGCTCTATCGATCCTATTTTATGATACATTCAAGTGTAATAGCGAAACAGTTCTTTCCAGTGTAGAATGAAATGTTCTTCCCGTGCCTTGATAGGCAATCAGATAAGAGAATATTTTGGTCTGCCCGAATGAAATCTCACGCTGCGATGAATTGTACGCATAAATTATTATCAACTTTCGTCCCGTCAAAACGCGCTTTATCCCCCGGCACTATTCTTGCCTTTATTACGTTTTTATCATTCGGAATCTCGCACGGGCCACGGCATAATTGGGGAGAAATTTGAAACCCGAGACGAGATAAAACGGCAATATATAGGCAATCGCAGTGTATGGGATAGGAAACAGATTCATGCGCTTGTCTACCGCGCGGGTAACCCAAATAACAAGAGGACGTTTCTCGAGAGAGGCCCGGTATCTCCGCACATACATCTCGAGGGTCGCAACATTTAGAAAGCAAAAGCGTATTGGCCGATATCTCGAACGGCTTGAGTGTAAACGGGGTTTCTACCGGCCCCAATTTTCTATTTGCACTTGTCTCGGGATTTTTCAAATGTCAACAGCTCTAAAAACCAAGTCATTCACTGTCGCGAGAAGACGCCGTTGCTTCGAAACCTTTGCTGACTCGCCAGAGGGGCCGTTACACAATGAGTCGACTCAAAAGCGATTCTTCGCACCGTTATTAGATAATTGCGTATAATTCAGTATTTAAAATAGCATGTTAACTCATCCGTACTCTCGTTTTGCTTTTTATTAAAACAATTATTCAATTGTTTGCCGACATGTTTAGATAAAACATCTCTCTCTCTCTCTCTCTCTCTCTCTCTCTCTCTCTCTCTCTCTCTCTCTCTCTTCCTCTTTCTTCTGTTTCTTTTTAATTTCATATTTTTGTTACAAAAGTTCAAAGTGAATTTTGTGGTTCACGTATTTCAATCACGTCCTTCACTGGTTTTCACTTTTTAGCGTCTCGTCCGGTTTGCGGTCTAATTAACTGAGGATTTGTTTCCGAGGACCGGAACAAGT